CCTCTCTCTCTCGCTCTCGCTCCCCCTCTCTCTCTCTCTCGCTCCCCCTCTCTCTCTCGCTCTCGCTCCCCCTCTCTCCATGTTCTTGCTATCGTTGTTACGGCCGTGAAAATGTGCGTATATTTATAGATGCGGATGACTGACATGCGTAGCAATGCAGTAGTTCGTTGTGGTAGTTATATAGTTGTAGTTGTAGTTGTAGTTGTAGTTGTAGTTGTAGTTGTAGTTCGTTGTTGTAGTTATATAGTTGTAGTTGTAGTTGTAGTTGTAGTTGTAGTTGTAGTTCAATCTATAGCTGTAGCTGTATTTGTAACTAGACTTTAAGCTGTAATTATACTTGTAGTTGTAGTTGGAGGTAGAGTTTAAACGGTATTTATGGCTGTAGTTGTAGTTGCAATTGTAATTCAAGCTGTAGTTGTAGTTTTTTTTAGTGTAGTTGTAATTGAGTTAAAGTTGTACTTGTAGTTGTAGATTTACTTATCGTTTAACTTGTATTTTCACTTAGTTAAAGTTTATATAGCAGTATAACCGTCATGTATATAGAGTGAGTTGGGCGTAAACGAGGCAGTCGTGTGGGTAGCAGAGCATAAAACCATCGGCGGGCACGTTCCCTACTCCATGCTGCATGCAGTCACAGTGATTTGCGGCAGCGGCGGTCAATGGGCCGAAAAGGCCGGAGTTTTGAAGGAGTTACAATGGTTAATCTATGGCCGTATAAACTGGTTAATGGTGGTTATAGCCCGTGCCAATATAGAGGGGTTTATAGTAGTTAATCTGTGACTGTATAAAAGAGTTTATAGTGATTAGTATGTTCCAGAGCAAGGATCCCCCACTAATTAAGCGTTGTCAGGTTCGAGACAATTAAGACATCATCCTTCGAAGTTATATTTCACCCACCGATTGAAAATGTTATATATATATATATATATATAGCCACTTCACGCCACATTATATGAAATGTGTTAATTTTACTGGCGCTTTTTCTTGAGCGGTTCGTTTACATGAAAAAACGTATATACATTACTTAGCCGTTTCTTAGACCAAAGAATTTACTATGGGTTACACGTAGACCGAAGAACGTACTACGGTGGTATAGATACGGAATTTGCTAGTACCTTGCTGTGAACTTAAGTTGACTGTGGCAGCAGCGGATTTAGTTTTTTTTTTATAACGATTGTCTGGTAGCAGCATTATTGAGCTATTATGAATAGATGCTATGATTTGAATATAGTGGTAGTGTGAATGGAATAGTTACGTGCACTAAAAGTCTGTATGTGCACAATATCAAGATAATAATATTAACCCCTTATTTTTATAACGTCATAATGATTCACCCGAATTGTATACGTGCCTGCTCTGTCTGACGGCAAGCGTTTATTACTGTCCTAACAAAACCGGAGCAAGAGCAGTACGTATTAAGTGAAAGTATGAGTGGAGCGGTTACATACACTAACAATATGCATATATGTGCATAATAGAGCGTGTATATTACACGTGTATTATATCAAGAGCTGATAAATACCTCTTGATTATATGTAGTACTTAGGTATATGTATATATCGCATATATACAGATTTGAAGGTTTACAATAACCTTATTGAAACAATGCTTTTTACAGAAGCAAAAAAACAACCACAGCAAATATTTGATGAACATTTGATCAACAATATATGAGCAATTTGACACGTTGTAATAAAATACAGTTTATAAATTTTGCATACGTGCTTGCACTGTGTGATATCTGGCCGTAATTGCTGTCGTCATAGAACCGGAAGTATGAATTATGAGTGAATGAAGTATGAATGCAGTATTATCGATTTATTTGAAAACTGATCGTTTTTAATTTCTGTGTGAACAGAACTGAACCAGGAGCAGTTTGAGTCGAAGTATGAATAAACGAATGAACGAAGTTTGAATGCAGTATTTTCGATTTATTTGAGAAATGATCGTTTTTAATTTCCGTCTGAACAGAACTGGAGCAGGAGCAGTATTGAGTCGAATTATGAATGAATGAACGAAGTTTGAATGCAGTATTTTCAATTGGTTTGTTTGTCATTAAAAATGGTTGTTTTTAATTACTGTCCCCACAGAGCCTGAGCAGGAGCAGACTACATTGATCTATACACAAGCGTCAACCTAGTCGTATATTTATAACCCCCCCCCCCATTCACCCAATTTACATTATCATTGAATCTTTCACATGCTACAATCAGCTACATGCATTATTTTTGCTAATTTATGACTGTGTAACTGTTATTGACTGCGTTGTATCATGATGTCAAGCGTTTCTTAATACTGTCCTAACCGAATGAACGAAGTATGAATGCAGTATTTTCAATTTATTTGTTTGTTATTAAATGGTTGTTTTTAATTACTGTCGCCTAACAGAGCCTGAGCAGGAGCAGGCTACACTGCTCTACACGAGCGTCAACCTAGTCGAGCAGGTGCTGCTGAACGGCACAGAGACGAAGTCAAGCTTTAAGAAGCAGGTTCCTCACAACAAGGTCGCCTTCATGGACTTCAACCACCGCAACCGCACTGTCTGCTGGGTGAGCGACAGATTTTTAGTTTTTTTTTTTTTGGTTGATTTTTGCAGCCGATTGTTCTGTTGATTGTTGTTTTGTCGTGTATTTGTTGTTGTTATTTTGTTTGCTATGCATTTTATTGTTATTATTTATTATTTGTCGTTATTTTTTATTGCGATTTAATTTATTTTTATCGATTATTATTAATTTATTATGCATTTAATTAATTAATCTATTCATTTCTGATTTTATTTTATATATGCCGTGAGCATTTATTTAATAGCCATTGATATGGGTATGTGGAATTGCAGTGGTAAACCATTTTAGTGACACTAATATTTAGATATACAGTGGAACCCTGATTTTATGCGCCCTGATTTAACGCGAATTCGGATATAACGCGATGAGTCGTTGGACCCCCTTTTTTTCTCTTATATAGCCACGTATATATAACCCCGATTTAGTGCGATCCCCGCTTTTTTTGCGATGACATTTTATGGACCCCAACCATCGCGTTATATAACGGGGGCTACACTGTATTAGCGATATTTCAGCTAAAACTATTTTAATTATTCGAGGCGATGTCGTTGTGTTTGTTGTCAGGTTGAAGATGCGTTTAAGGGAATATTTACGTGTGCTCCTCTAGAGGATCAAGCAAACACGTGGAACATGAACACAGCCTTCTCACTAAACGGTAAGAAAGAAGGAAGCCAGGAAAGGACCACGTCGTCACTTTCTATAAATATTCCTAGTTCTACGTTTACTTCTGCCTTTACGTCTATTTCTACTTCTGCTTGTATTTCTGCTTTTACTTCTACATCTTTTTCCAGTCCTACTTGACGTGTCTACTTCTCATTCTACTTATACTTGGATTTTTTACTTTTGTTTCTGCATCTTTTTTGCTTCTGCTTCTATTTCTACTATGCACTTTTACTTCTACGTCTATCCTCTACTTTCACTTCTACTTCTGCTTCTGCTCCTATGTGTTCTTCTATATACTTCCACTAAATACTCATACTTGCTATAAATCTCATTCGATTGAGCTCTGTTGTGTGTTCGCATATGTCGGTGTGCGTTCGCATTTGTCTGTGTGCGTTCGCATATGTCTGTGCGTGCGTACGTTCGCATATGTCGGTGTGCGTTCGCATATGTCTGTGTGCGTGCGTACGTTCGCATATGTGCGCGTGTGTGTGTGTGCGTGCATGTGCGTGTGCGTGCGTACGTGCGTGCGTGCGTGTGATCTTCCCCGAGAGTCATGACTCATCCTCCATCCTGCAGGTGTTGAGCAGATGGCGCTGGACTGGATCTCCGGTAACTGGTACTTCGTCGACGAGGACCGCGACATGATATTCGTCTGCAACGGCACGCTCAGCGTCTGCTTCATCGTCGTGGAGACGCAGCTGCAGGAGCCGCGCGGCATCGCCCTCGACCCGACGCAGGGGTGAGTCATCGCTGTGCGAGAGTGTCCCCCCCCTCCCGCGTGTACCGAGACAGGACTGGGGGGGGGGGGAGGAGGAGGGGGCTCTGAGATGATACTGGGAGGAGAGGGCAGCAGGAGGAGGATGCCTCCCATCTAGAGGCGGGAAGTGGAGAGGATGACGGCTGGGAATGGGAGGAGGGGGAGGTGGAGGAACCTTTTGTTGGATATATTGTAGATGCTTTAGGCTGTCGTGAATCTCGGTAAGTAGGTCCAAATAGGTGAACTCCATAATTGGAGTGTGAGAATAATTAATAACATGATTATTGTTGTTATTATTATCATCATCATAATCATCACCATTATTATTGCTATTATCATCATCATCATTATTATTATTATTATTATTATTATTATAACTAAAGGTAACGATTATTAATTTCACAGGTACATGTTCTACACCGACTGGGAGCCGAAGACTCCGAAGCTGGAGCGCGCCGAACTCGACGGCAGCAACCGGCGCAACCTGGTGTCGACGAACATCGTCAGCCCGCACGCGGTTACGCTGGACTACGGCAGCCGTCACGTGTACTGGGTCGACCAGCACCTCAGCCGGCTGGAGCGCGTGCGCTACGATGGCACGCACAGGAGCACCGTGCTCTCGGGCGAGGTGAGGGGGCGCCGCGCGTCGCACGCACGCACGTGCGCTTGTTTACAGAGGTCGGGCGAGGTGAGGGGGCGCCACGCGCCGCAATCACGCACGTGCGCTTGTTTACAGAGGGCGGGCGAGGTGAGGGGGCGCCGCGCATC